TCCCTATCCAAAAGCTTCCTAGTTACAGCTCACTACCAAGTAAAACAAACAACAATAATCTTTTTTTTTTGTTTTAAGCATGTAAATGGGTTAATATATATAACCCATAAAACTCATTGTAATGGGGACAAGAACCTTTCAAATATAAAAAAATAGTGAGTTTCTGGGATTTTTAGTATCATTTTCATTTAATGGTTTTATGTTATTTTTTCTTTTCTTTGGCATTTGAACAAAATAGTATAGAGGAGAAAGTATAATCTTACCTTGTTAGTCGGTTCTCGCCGGAGGAGGGGTTGTAGTCGTCATCATCGGGTTGTGTTTGGCCGAGAGTCTTTGGCATTTAGGGCCTCATAGAGCATCAATTTTGAGTTTCTAGAGGAGTATGTGAGTTAGTTTATAGTTTTATGGTTCATTTTTAGTAAGCCGACCACCTTGGGTGGTGGTCGGAGAATTGAGAAGCGGCGATGTTGGTAATTTGTCGGCCTCGATCGAAAGAAAATTGTGAGAAAGAAGATGTTTGGGTGGTTGTTTAGCTTTCTACTGGTCGGCGTCAGTTCCGTTCGGAGTAAATGGCTACCAAGGCGGTGGCCGACGACGTTGGTGAGAAGCTTTGAAGCTCTTGGCTGCACGCATGGAAGATGGAGAATGAGAGAGAAAACAATTTTTTTTTTCATGTTTTGCAATGAAACATCAGATGTGTGTTTTAGTTTAGGTCATATATTAGTATTTTAGGGTAAATTACATATAGGCCATTCTATTTAAGCATCTATTTACATCATGGTCACTAACCCATGGTCAAATTACATATAGCCCACTAAACTTTTACCTTATCCTTATATTATAGTCACTTAAAATAGGAAAAATCCCTAAATAATCCCTATAATTTATATACATATTTACACTTTAGTTCCTGATTTTTTTATTTCGAAATTAGCTGCTATATTTTTATTTTCTTTCATTTTGATCTCTATGCTTTATTTTATTATATTTTAGTCATTTTAATTCTATCTTTTAATATTCTGAGCTATTTTATTTTTGGGCATTATATTCGATATCTTTTATTTTTAGTTCTTTACTTTATATTTTAATTTATGCGATTTATTTTTATTTATTTAATTTCATTACTTTAATTTTCTATTTTTGCTTTACATTTTTCAATACTTTAGTTCTAGTTCTTTAACTATTTCGCTTTATTTTATGTTTAGTTTATTTTATTCATATTAATATATGTATATATATATATATATATATATGAAAGATTAATAAGTATTATTTAATTAATTTCATAAATTAATTAAATGATAATATTTATTTATTTTTAAATATTAAGAAAATAAGGTCTTAAAGTAACTAGACATCCTTTTCTGATACTTTAAAAATAAATAAGTATCCTGCTTATAAAAATATATATATTTACTTCATTATTTTTAGGAAAATTATTATATTCTTATTAATTTATTTTTAAATATTAAGAAAAGACAGTCTTAAAGTAACTATATGTCCTTTTCTAATATTTTTAAATAAATAAATACTTTATTTATAATTTATAAAAATTATTTTAATATTTTTTTCCTTATTATCCAATTGAATATGAAAAGATCATAAATTAAATTTATATTCGAATTCTTAAATTCTATTATTAGAGACAATTTATAATCGACAGGGACCAATTTTGGGCGTTGTGGGGTGCTAATCATTCCCTAAACGTAATCGACCACGAATCCCTTTTTATTATTAAAAAACGAATTTTTGGTTAAAGGTAGACTAGTTTCTCTTTTAAAATGGTATTTTATTAAAAACTATTTTAAAAGATGATTTTTAGGTATTCGACCTACCTAACCCAAAAGGTCGATGGAAACTTCAAACATTTCCTTATAAAAACCATTTATTTATCCACATCACTTTTCCCGCCAAGTAAAATTTCGTGCCCGAACGAAAACCGGTTATGACACACACAATTGTGAGCATTTGATCTTCACCTAAGTACTCGGCTAAAATCCTGTAACAGAGATGTCCAGGGAAATCCATACTTGGGTAAAGATCAAATGCTCGTGGTTGTGTGCAAATCCTATCATTCACAAGGTTCTCTTGAGCAGTATGGGCATAATAGAGAAGTTGATTCTAGGTTCGGTCTTCACGTAGAAGCTACTGCTCTTGGTAAATCTTTAAATGGCATATTTATTATTGTCTACGTCGAGGATATAAGGTTCTGCATGCATGATACTTATTGGTTTCGAAACGTTAATGGAGATCATTATAACTATTCTTATATACATTGAAGAACAAATCTTCAAGAATTGAATACAATTATTCTATGTAATGTTCAATCATGCAGTCCTTACTTGGGAGGGGTTGAGTTCAATGACCCTAAAAGGAAGATTATCTTACCATTTGGATACTGCCCTCAGAGTTTTATTGGTTATGCAGTAACATGATTAACTTGGATAATCCCAACTACAGAACTGATTCCAGTCATGATTTGTGGGAGACTCTATTCTACAGACTTTTTGGCAAGGTTCAAGTATACGATACAAGGGAATATATGAAAAGAGCTTGCATAAAACATTGTGTTATGTCTCTAGATGGAGGGATTCTGAGAAAGAATGGACTTATCCGTTTACATTGTTAATTTACCTATTACTTTAAAGTAATAGGTTTCGAAATTCCAAGTATCGATGCTCCAAGTATCAGTTTGAAGTAAGCAATTAGTGCATTAACATCCCCATTGATGATTTCCTTTGCTTTTCCTATTTGAAGTACATTTGTAGATGTCTTTATGTGTAAATCCAATATTCTGATAAACCATATATAAAGTACATTGTAGAAGTAATAGGTAAATTTACAATGTAAATAGTAAAAGTATATCGGTATAATGATAATAGCGTAAACACATTGTATCAATACTTTGTTATATCGGGCTCGATACTTTAATTACAGTATGCATCTCACACAATTTGCACGCAAAAAGTATCGATACACATATATAAAATATCGATATACTCATAATTTCAAAACTTATTACTTTAAAGAATAGGTAAATTTACAATGTAAAAGGGAAAAATCTACTGGTTTAATGATAATAGACATAAATATAACGTATTGATACTTTTTTATAGGTATCGATACTTTTATTCTAGTATCGATACTTTTATTCTAGTATGTTTTTCCAACAATTTGTACGGAAAAAGTATCGATACACATGTACAAAGTATCGATGCTTTTGATTCCGAAACCTATTACTATAAAGTAATAGGTAAATTAACAATGTAAAGGTTAAAAGTTTATCGATATAATAATCATATGCGTATATACCAAGTATTGATACTTGGTATATAGGTATCGATACTTTTAGTTCAGTATGCATCTCAAACAATTTGCACGCAAAATGTATCGATACTCAAAATTTCGAAACCGATTACTTTAAAGTAATAGGTAAATTTACAATGTAAACTGTAAAAATCTACCAGTTTCATGGTAATAGTCTCAAACATAAAGTATTGATACATTTAATATATGTATCGATACTTTTTTCCAGTATGCTTCTCAAACAATTTGCACGCAAAATGTATCGATATACATATATAAATTTTTTATACTTATAATTTTGAAACCTATTACTTCAAAGTAATATGTTAATTTACAATGAAAACGGTAAAAGTCAATCAGTATAATGATAATAGATGCAAACATCAAGTATCAATACACATGTATAAATTATCGATACATTAAATTTCGAACCCTATTACTTTAAAGTAATAGGTAAATTAACAATGTAAACGGTAATATGTTGATAATACTAATAACAAATCAAGTAATTAACCTATTTTGTTATCGTCAAATTTCTAAGGCCCCATCAGCTTTAAATAGTCACTACCTATTATATTAAATAAACGCTACTGGTTATGTTATTATGGTTGATAATGTGTCCAGTAATTAACATATTTTGTTATCGTCGGATTTATAATGCTCCATCAGCTTAAACTTTGGTAATATTTTAGGCTCTACCTAATATGTTGATAATACTGATAACAAATTAAGTAATTAACATATTTTGTTATCGTCGGATTTCTAAGGTGTCATCAGATTTAAACTAGCGCTACATATTACATTAAATAAACACTACTTGTTATGTTATTATAATTGATAATATTTCTAGTAATTAACCTATTTTGTTATCGTCAGATTTCTAAGACTCTATCAACTTAAATTTTGGTAACATTTTAGGCACTACCTAATATATTGATAATATTATTAACAAATCAATTAATTAACTTATTTTATTATTGTTGAATTTCTAAAGTCTCATAAGCTTTAAAAAGTCGTATATTATATTACATAAGTGCTACATATATTTTATTATGGTTGAGTAATTAACCGGTTATATTAAAGTCAATATTTTTTAACGCATTTTATATACGACAATAACATTTTCGATTATTACCATTATTACTACCAATACAAATAATATTTATGATAAAAAAAAATATAACATTTACGATTATACTTTTAATTGATCACTTATTTAACTAATCATAATATTTTTTAATTATATTTTAACTCTCTCACAACAGAACCACCAGGTGAGAAGTAGGGACAATAAAAGATGACCAACTGCAGTACGTGACCTATCTGATCTTTATGGCAGTATTAATGTAATGAAGCAGAGGATAGAGATGAATGGCACGTGGCAGTCACTTGTTATTTTCCTCTTTCTTTATGTTATAGCTCAGACTCCGGTAAAACTAAACAACTTGATGTTGCTGTTTAAGGGGGACAAGGAATGCGAAAACCATGTGCACTGCCAGATGAGACATGACATGGTTAGAAACCGTCTGATCCAAATCTAGTGTCCATCCCTGTGTAAGGATATAACACATACAAACATTGAAAAGTAATGGCATAAGCGTAAGAAAACAGTAACCCCAGGCTCATTTAGTAAGCATATCTACTATATATTTGGTGCATATACCAGGGTTGAACTTATCCTTATCTCTTCTTTTTCATCATCTTCCGACATAAGACTTCGATAAGCAAATGGAGATACTTTCTCAACGATCATCAACTTTCTCAACTTTGAATCCCAACGCTCCGATGTTCGTTCCTTTGGTGTATCGGACGGTCGAGGATTTCTCCGATCAATGGTGGGCCCTCGTCCAATCCTCCCCGTCTTTCCGCGACTACTGGCTTCAAGAACGTTTCCACGATCCCCAGAACGGCGAAATCTACCACGACGATCTTGTATTTCCCGACGATCTCGATGCGGTCTTTGACGAATACTACGACTCCTTCGTCAACCCTACACGTAAGTCATTCATTTAAGTCAACCGAGTCAACCAGTCAACTGTCTATAGTTTAGTTAACTCGGATCTTACCTTCTTTTCTATTTTTTTCAAAAAAAAATATTTTTTGGGTTTCAGATGAAGAGAAGGAAGAAGGTGGTGAAAAGGGGTTGGTCTCCGTTGGAGCATTCAAGTGGCGGAAGGGCCGAGTTGTGAGTGAGTCACCAAGGGTTCGCGAGAAAGCACCTAAGATCGTAAACGTGAGAGTGAGTCCGAGGACGATTCACCAACCGAGGTAGATGGATTACATGGGAGGTCTCCTCGAACCGAAAATAATCAGCTTTTAAGTTAAATCTGCTGTTACCTTTGTTCTTTCTTTTCCATTTTGTAATATTTTGTGTACATAGTTTTAGTTTGCAGACTGCAGTTAGTGTATGAGATGCAACTCTTTTTTAGTAATAGAGGAACTAACCCCCATCTCGAAACTCATTATCTGGATATGTAACGTAAGATTTCAGATTCATTGAAATATTTAAGAAACAAACTAAAGAGATGTAAAGAGTTTATATTAAAATATTTGGGAATTATTGCTAATATGCAATTGTAAATTCAAAGATCTGCAGTGCCCATAGTTTTGATATTCTCTCTCCTTGGTAAACAGTAGACAGTCATCAATGAATGTTTAGTTTTTTCCAATGTTATTAAAATTGTATCGGATCGATTGGTTCGACCGGTTGAATCGAGAATTAGTTGTTTGTTCTGTTCGATCAGCCTTTGAACTGTTAAAGAATCGGTAAAATCGATTGGGAACTGATAAAATTAGTGTGAACTGGTAATTTAAGCGGTTAGATTTTGTTTTTTTTTTAAATTAAACCAAAGTGGTGTCGGAGCAGGAAGGGAGTGAAAGCGTGGTTAACTCGTTGTGTGAGGAATCATTGGAAGCCAGGGAAAAAGCAATAGTGGGTGGAGTTTTGACGCATTTGGTGTTGCTTCTGCAGAGCCACGGTAGTGGTAGGACCAAAACAAAGGCCACTGCGTTGCTGATGCTATGATCCATGTGGACCAAGCTGGAATTTAAACTGGGGTTGAATTACGGTTGTTATCAAAATGAAGAAGTTTTTTTTTATTGCTAATATGCAATTGTAAATTCAAAGATCTGCAGTGCCCATAGTTTTGATATTCTCTCTCCTTGGTAAACAGTAGACAGTCATCAATGAATGTTTAGTTTTTTCCAATGTTATTAAAATTGTATCGGATCGATTGGTTCGACCGGTTGAATCGAGAATTAGTTGTTTGTTCTGTTCGATCAGCCTTTGAACTGTTAAAGAATCGGTAAAATCGATTGGGAACTGATAAAATTAGTGTGAACTGATAATTTAAGCGGTTAGATTTTGTTTTTTTTTTTAAATTAAACCAAAGTGGTGTCGGAGCAGGAAGGGAGTGAAAGCGTGGTTAACTCGTTGTGTGAGGAATCATTGGAAGCCAGGGAAAAAGCAATAGTGAGTGGAGTTTTGACGCATTTGGTGTTGCTTCTGCAGAGCCACGGTAGTGGTAGGACCAAAACAAAGGCCACTGCGTTGCTGATGCTATGATCCATGTGGACCAAGCTGGAATTTAAACTGGGGTTGAATTACGGTTGTTATCAAAATGAAGAAGTTTTTTTTAATATTTTTAAAATTTGAGGGAATTAATTTTAATAAATATTATAATGATTGATATTTGTATAAAATATATTTTTTTATTTAGTTGTTGATAAATTTTATTAGGTATTGATCTTAAATATTATATTATAATTGATTTGAATCATTTTATTTTATTTAATATTATAATATTTTATGTTATTTTATTTAACTTATATATATATTATGATTTATGATATTTTTATATCTTTTAATATTATAAATTTAAAAAGAGTATTATATATATATTAATATTATTTTAAATATTATGTAAAATTTTAAAAAATTATATTATTTTAAATAAATCGATTTAAGGTTAGATCCGATTTTTAAAATATTGGTTTTCTCTGAGTCTGAGCCAACACAGAAGAAAATCACAAGTGCCATTCATCTCTATCCTCCCATTCATTGGATTGATAGTGCCATCAATACTAGAGAGACCACGTCATTGGGTTGGTCTCATCTTTTATTATTCCCTGCTGACTACTCCATAGATATTATCAAATCTCTCTCTCACACACACACTGTAACCCCTCAGATCGATGAGGGTAATTCGATTTAATTTGAGAAGTCACATTAGGGACACCGAAGCGATTTATTATAAAAATAGCAGAAAATTTAAATTTTTTATTAAAATATGTAACTTATAAAATGATTTATCAGTATGCAGAAATAAAACAGATTTTCAGACTCGTATATAAATTAAAATATAATTACTACCCTTGATCACATGTACCATACTTTGCAACAACGCAGGAATAACTCCCTTACTGATTCTGATAGCTGCACTGATACAATCTTTTAACCTGAAATGGTGAGTAATAGAGTGAGTTTCGGAAAGCTCAGTAATACAGAACTACTAGATGATGCTGAAGAACGTGCAGATACAGATAAACATATATTTCCTTATTGGTTCATATATCTATAGATTTTTAGGCTGAGCTGAGGTCACATTGATATTTCATATATTAACAGATAGTATTTAGTTTTGATGGAAAATATTTGGGATGTTTAGGTTCAGGATATCAAAATAGGTTTTCTAGTGTGTTCTCAAAATCCATGTAACTTTTCAGATTCTTTTTAAAACATATATATATATATATATATATACCCCCATCCGTCACGAACAAAATGTGTAGGTTCCCCAAAACCATACAACCCCGTCACGAACAGTAAGGCCCTGAGCACAAAGCCAAGGAGCCTCCAAGTAATCTTCCTTCAACGATACCCCCCAATAAAACTTGTTCCGTCCGTAAACGAATATATCAAAAAGGAAAACATAATTCAAGTCAATTGTCATATCATAATCCAGGTCATGTATCTGATCAGAATCCATGTCAATATTAGATTAGAATCCAGGTCAGGTATCATAACAGAATTCAAATCAGAAATCAAATAAATATTTATGTAATTAGGGAACACACCAGAGTTTACAGGTATTATTTAGAGGTACTGTATCAGGCAGAGAAACACAGTTCTTTAGTATGTCGATAGAATATTGGAATTTAGAATCACTATTGGAAGAGTTCATTAACTGACAGAATCATCAGTTATTCAGAATGTGAATTGAGCTGATAAGGAAGAAACGAATATTCGAAACATTTATGATTTGTATCGATCTATCGGAATATCGAGCAACTCCCAAAACTGATACTTATCGACTGGTCAATTCATTACCCTTCCAGGGTATTTACTCTTTAATACCAAAAATTCTTGTCCAGATATCATCTTCGGAATCATTGTTGAATAGATCTTTCAATGTCTTTATTTCCTTTTCACGCTTCCACAATATCATGTAATGCTGATGTACTTGATTATTTTAATCATAACCCATCGTAATTGTACACTATGTAAACTCATCAGAATTTTCAAACTTATCCAAATCACTTACTAAATCCTCAATCATTGAGGTTACATAATTCATTTAGTAGTCATGTTCATTCCCGTTATTTTGGGATTTTCCAGAGTAATTCAAGCGTTCCTGAATTTCAGATACATGTTGCACTTCCGTTCCATTCAATTTGGTCTTCGTGGTTGATTTGTCGAACAAACATTCAATTCTTAGTATTAAATGCGATATAGAGTTAAACTGAGCTGAATACTTCCAAAATTTATCATCGAGCCAAACTTGAGAAGACGAACACACATTCAAGTAATATCTATGCCATCTAGGTATTAACATAGCTTTAGGGTTGATCTACTCACTTAAATTATTTTTCATTACTTTTAAAGGTAGTCCAACATCTATACTTATTTGGATTCCTTAATTAATCCAAGACATTTACTTAATTTAGGCCATAAGGTTATTTTTATAATTTTGGTGTTCAGTTTTATTCCATTCATTTCAGAGCTCGAGGATATCCAATCATTCTTGAGCTTAGTGATATTCTTGAGTCATTTCTATTATAGGGGTATTTTGGTCATTTTACAGATCTACGGTATTTCAATCCTTTCCTTCCGTCCGACCTTACTATTAAATTCAATCTTACCATTTATTTCAGTCCTTTCGAGCAATTCTGACAACAGAACACTCCCGACAAATTATTCTTCAGGTATTTACTCATAACTCGAATATTTCTAGGTCAAGTGCCTTCTCAGATTTTACAAACGGAATATCAGGAATTTTCCTGCACTAAGTCAGGATCTTAACAATCAAATCCGTACTTAATCAAGTTAAGTGCGAATCCTCAAAGTACTTTCTCATTCAGGGTCAACTCGGACTATTTTACCTCTCAAGGGCATTCTCATAATTTCTTAACCAGATAATTTCGATATTAGCTCTTAACGAAAATAATTATAATTTAAAGATCCTATGGTCAATTGCTTTCCTGAACATTATCTGATCTTGAAATTATTCTTTAACAAACTTCTAGCATCTTGCACAAACCCTTTTTGGCGTTAAAAACCAGTTATCCAAATTTTCTAAACAAAATTATCATTTCTTATGCACATCTGTAATTATATCAGATCAATATGTCCTTTCAGAGTTATTAAACAACTTCCAGGGATAATTCTTGTCATCCTACAACATAAGGGTATTTTCGTAATTTTATCCTATCGGAGTATTCTCATAATTTCCCATCCAATTACCTTTAACATTTAACATTTGATGAAATAAATTATAAGTTACAGATCCAGGTTGATTTCTTTATCACTAAGCACATAACTTGTAATTATATTATAATAATCCCTCAATATCTTATAAAAGTCATATGAACCATAATCAATTACTGAACTTTTTTACCATATTCAGATCGAGTGTAGAAATTATTCAACTCCACAAAAGTGACCAACATTATCTTATTCATGCATTTACCAATATCAACATGTTCCATAAAGCATAAAGAAGTAGTAAAGTATTACATCGATTTTTGTGTAATATTGATCGACCATAAAAATTCCATTCGAACGCCTTTGATCTTTAATTCAACTTCCAATAATTCCTTAGATACATATCAACATAAATTATATAAAGAACAGAGCTTAGTTCTGAAAAACGGATCGAATCGGATGATAAATTAGTGAAAAATAGCTTACCTGGTTCGAATTTGGTGAAACGGACTTCGGATTCGGATTCAGGACGTCGAAAGCATAAAATATGACTTTTCAAAGATTTGGAATTTTAGGTCAAAATCAAAGTCAACGGGTTTAACTGGAAATTTCGAGGCCTTCGGGTCCGAATTTCGAAAAACGGACTGCGGAATCGGATTTGGAACGTCGAAAAATGTCAGGATACGTATACTCGCTCAAAATCAAAGGTCGTTTAATGCCTGGTCAAAGCCAGTCAAAGTTTTGGTCAACTGTGGTCAATGTAAGTCAACAGGTCAACAGTCGACCATTTTACACAAATATCATCCTAACAAAAATTAATTACCAAATTAGCCACATTTTGCAAATATTTACCAATCTAACACCTGAATTTTACATAAATAACACCCAAACATAAATTAATTACTAAATTATCACCCAGACGATGCCCACTCTCGGGGGGTGGCGCGTGTGGCGCATGAACAGTGCTACAGTGTCGGAAAATTCCCACAAAAATTTTTAAAAATTATTTTAAGCGATTTCGAGGTACTTACAATGCTCGGTTCACAATTTTGAACGGCGGAGAGCTCGATTCCAAAATGTCAGAAACTTTAACTGTTTCACCTCCTCACGTGCCGCCATCGACAGAGACCAAGGATGACACCGGCGGACTCAAAACTATGCAAGGAACACCATGGTGCGGGAGGTATCGTAAACGGATGACCAGATCGTCCTGAATCGACGAAAAACCAATTGAAATCGAGTTATTACCGACGATACTTCCAAATGAAATTAACAACAAACAGCGACGATTCACTACGAAAGGTTTGAGGGGTTTTGTTTCTCGGTCGACAATGAACACGATGGTGGTTTCGGTTCGTCGATCGAAGGTCGGACGGCGAGTTGATCGGAGTTGAAATGAGGGTTGAAGGGAAGGAAAAACTGGGAATTTTATGCTGAATGATACGGGAAATGGGGGTTTATATTATCTCTAAAAGAAAAATGGGTAAACCATGAGTTTAGTCACTGAACTTCCTACACTTCTTAAAATGGTCTGCTAACTTTACGATTGTACAATTTAATCCCCAATTTCTTCAAAAAATACCAATTAAATTATCCAATTTATAATTTCTTAAATTTAGCCCCTAAATTAGGGTGTTACAATTCTCCCCTCCTTAAAAGAATTTCGTCCTCGAAATTCATTCATGTCACATAATTGCAGAAATGAAACTTCGATCAGTTCTTTCATATTTTCAAGTAACTTTTACAGAAGTATGGATCCTCCACTAATCCTTAACCAGTTGAGCATACATTCTTATCAGAACTTTTTCCTCATTTCAATAAAAGAATCAGAACGGAAATATCCTTGTAGAATCAATTCAGCCTTGGTTACGAAAATAGGCTCATGGAGTTGTAACATATCCAAATTTCATTTTCGGAGTCGAGTCAGAATTTCTCAGATGAATAACTCTCACATGGCTCGTGAGGTATTTTACAGCATTTAGACAGATGTTAATGTTATTCAATTTTGTACAAGTATAGCCTTAACGGATAAAAACTAGATTTACTTGTTACAGATAGGGACTCAATCTTGGAATTCCGGTTTAGAGAGGTACGATTACAGTATAGGGGCATGTACTGATCAGACATATTTTGACATTCGACCGGCTGGTCTATCTTGAAAATTTTAACTCAAACCATAGCTCTGATAACACTAAATGTAACCCCTCAGACCGATGCGGGTAACCCGATCCGATTCGGGAAGTCACATTAGGGCCATCGGAGTGACCCACTGTAAAAATGGCGGAAAATTTAAAAATTTTATTAAAATATGTAACTTATAAAATGATTTATCAGTATGCAGAAATAAAATAGATTTTTAGACTCGTATATAAATCAAAATATAATTACATGCCCTCTAATCACATGTACCATACTCTGCAACAACGTAAGAAGAACTCCCTTACTGATTTTGATAGTTGCACTGGTACAATCTTTTAACCTGAAATGGTGAGTAATAGAGTGAGCTTCAGAAAGCTCAGTAATACAGAACTACCAGATGATGCTGAAGAACGTACAGATACAGATAAACATATATTTCCTTATTGGTTCAGATATCTATAGATTTTTAGGCTGAGGTGAGGTCCCATTGATATTTCAGGTATTAACAGATAATATTTAGTTCTGATGGAAAATATTTGGGATGTTTAGGTTCAGGATATCAGAATAGGTTTTCTAGTGTGTTCCCAAAAACCATGTAACTTTTCAGATTCTTTTTAAAACATATATATATATATATACCCCCATCCGTCACGAAAAAAATGTGTAGGTTCTCCAGAATCATACAACCCCGTCACGAACAGTAAGGCCCTGAGCACAAAGCCGAGGAGCCTGCAAGTAAGGCCCTGAGCACAAAGCCAAGGAGCCTCCAAGTAATCTTCCTTCAGCGATACCCCCCAATAAAACATGTTCTGTTCGTAAACAGATATATCAAAAATCAAAACATAATTCAAGTCAAGTATCATATCATAATCCAGGTCATGTATCAGATCAGAATCGATGTCAATATCAGATTAGAATCCAGGTCAGGTATCATAACAAAATTCAAATCATAAATCAAATAAATATTCATATAATTAGGGAACACGCTAGAGTTTATAGATTTAGAGGTACTGTATCAGGCAGAGAAACACAGTTCTTTAGTATGTCGATAGAATGTTGGAATTTAGAATCACTATTGGAAGAGTTCATTAGCTGACAGAATCATCAGTTATTCAGAATGTGAATTGAGCTGATAAGGAAGAAACGAATATTCGAAACATTTACGATTTCTGTCGATCTATCGGAATATCGAACAACTCCCAAAACTGATACTTATTGACTGGTCAATTCATTACCCTTCCAGGGTATTTACTCTTTAATACAAAAAATTCTTGTCCAGAGATCATCTTCGGAATCATCGTTGAATAGATCTTTCAATGTCTTTATTTCATTTTTCACGCTTCCACAATATCATGTAATGCTGACGTACTTGATTATTTTAATCATAACCCATCGTAATTGTACACTATGTAAACTCATCAGAATTTCCAGAATTATCCAAATCACTTACTAAATTCTCAGTCATTGAGGTTACCTAATTCATTTAGCGGTCATGTCCATTCCCGTTATTTCGGGATTTTCCAGAGTAATTCAAGCATTCCTGAATTTCAGATACATGTTGCACTTCCGTTCTATTCAATTTGGTCTTCGTGGTTGATTTGTCGAACAAACGTTCAATTCTTAGTACTGTATGCGATATAGAGTTAAGTTGAGCTGAATACTTCCAAAATTTATCATCGAGCCAAACTTGAGAAGACGAACACACATTCAAGTAATATCTATGCCATCCAGGTATTGACCTAGCTTTAGGGTTGATATACTCACTTAAATTATTTTCCATTACTTTTAAAGGTAGTCCAACACCTATACTTATTTGGATTCCTTAATTAATCCAAGACATTTACTTAGTTTAGGCCATAAGGTTATTTTGGTAATTTTGGTGTTCAATTTTATTCCATTCATTTCAGAGCTCGAGGATATCCAATCATTCCTGAGCTTAGTGATATTATTGAGTCATTTCTATTATAGGGGTATTTTGGTCATTTTACAGATCTACGGTATTTCAATCATTTCCTTCCGTCCGATCTTACTATTAAATTCAATCTTACCATTTATTTCAGTCATTTCGAATAATTTTGACAACAGAACACTCCCGACAAATTATTCTTTAGGTATTTACTCATAACTCGAATATTTCCGGGTCAAGTGCCTTCTCAGATTTTACAAACGGAATATCAGGAATTTTCCTGCACTAAGTCAGGATCTTAACAATCAAATCCGTACTTAATCGAGTTAAGTACGAATCCTCAAAGTATTTTATCATTCAGGGTCAACTCGGACTATTTTACCTCTCAAGGGTATTCTCGTAATTTCTTAACCAGATAATTTCAATATTAGCTCTTAACGAAAATAATTATAATTTAAAGATCCTATGATCTCATTATCTCAAATTACTATTATATCTAAGTCCGCATTTTAACATTTAGCTCAGACAACTATTAATTTTTTAACGGGAAAAAAACGAGTTTAGAATATAATGAATAATTAGATGATAATTTTATAATTTTTAATAGTAAGATGAGTCAACAATATCCTATAATCGGGGACCATTTGTATACTTTACCCTAATAATAATAATAATTGGAGATTGGCAAAAGATAGTACTATTGTTTTTAGCAGAAGAGAGAGAGAACAAAGTTCCTTATTTCTTTGGGATAACATAATCCAGTGAGTCTTCAGTGAAGTAAATATGAAAGACACGGGCACATGAGCCAATGACTTACAGTGTGAATTTCCAACTCTAAAATCAGCAAAATTATACAATCAAATTTTCATGTTCCTATAGAATAGAGTTTTCTTTTAACTGCAGCCCCAAATTCAAAGAGTTAAAGAACTTTTGAAGATGAAATATCACATCTCAAATCTTGAAATCTCTTCAGTAAGTTCGATTTGTATGTCCCGATTTCGGCCTCTTCAAAGGTGTCTGGGGTAGACTTTATAACTGAGATTGCCCCAGCATTGTGCAAAGCTTTGACTGCTTCATCTACAACAATGGAAACAAAGTTAAAAGTCGGAATCATTTGTCTTTTACCATTTTAAGACAAAAACACAAAGGACGTAAAAGAAAATACAGTTGGAACATGTGTAGCCAAACTCAAAGCATTACGGCCGATATAAAAAAAATAACCTTAACCCATCATGGAGTAGAATGCTACTCCAAGCAGGCAGGCACTTAGGCATAACAACTCTTGTTAATGCCAGGCTAAATTAGTGAACTGAACTAATTATATACTTTTACCTAAATTTGACAGTGCACTAAGAGCTTTCATCGCCTCTTTCTGAGTTCGTTCATCTTTCGCAGATCCCAACATATTTAAGAGCTCTTGAGCTCCACCAATCTCAACTATTTTCATCCTTCTTTGATATATCATAATAAATGGACGCAGAGTGTTAATCATGCACAATCAATATTAGCTGCTCTAGTTCAGAATGAGGTATAAAATATAGAATTCACTTCAAATCTACCGTAGTTTTGAAGGTAAGTTCCACTTTCATGATAACTACAACGTATAAGGGATACAGAAAACTCTCATTTGCAACTACTTGTTTGAATCTCTAAATCACACCCAAGTTGCTGAAAGTTTCGAGGAAGACATGCAAGCTTATCAGCTAAAGCCGTGTAGGGGCAATGCCACAAGAACATATTAAACATGCAACACTCATCAGAACCCCATCAAAGCAACCAAAACCTACATGTAATAGAAGAAGAAAAGACTCGAGGAGGATACGAAAGGAACGTTCAAAGTGAAGGCCATGAAAATATAGCTCAGGTAAGTTATCTTCTGATCATGGATCTTCAAGCTCCTGAAACAGCTAGAATTCCCTTTCAATAATTTCCTAAAACAGTTTTTCTTAGACAACCCCATTTAACTAACATGTATCTTATATGAGAAAAGAATGCGATCAGATACGCCTATTACAAGATAAGAGGCACGAATACCTTTCATTATTATCTGCTTTATTGTTTAGACTTAATGCAGGAAATCTTAAGCGCAAAGGTCACACCAAAATCAAAAACAATAGACATATGCCGAACTTGTCAAAAAATTATTATTAGGGAACAAAAACATACCGTCGATTGCAAAACGGGCAAATCTAGAAGCCCCCATTCTCTTAAACAATGGATCCTTAACATGCAAAAGTGAAACAGATTGGTTCAACAAATTATCTCCTGTAAAAATCAAATCTATCAGCAATTTCTCTCTTTTTTAAGCAAAAAATGGCAAAAGGCAACCACTTTTGATAAAATAAGGTTGATTCATAAACCAAATTTACATATCCCAAAATACCCACACAAGTTCAATATCAGATTTGAGATAGGGTGTACACAAATTACCCATAAGAAAAAGAATCAATAATTTCGAATAAGAGAATACCCATGTAAGGAAAGAACTGATAAGCAACAAAAGTTGCAGTGCCAGCAAAGAAGAGTATCAACAACCATCCGATTTTCCTCTCGGTTTCCTGTTCAAGAGAGGCTTCATCTGCAGCCAAAACCATACAGGTATTCAATCTGACTAAGCATTGGACGAAAAAACCCTTTTCGGAAAACATAAATGTGATAAAAGAGTAACCTTTTCCATTAAATGATGAGAAGTTCCGAGATTGCGCATTCCAATGCCTTCTTTTGAACAACAGCTACAATGAACAAATGGGGTCAAATGAAAATTGGATGTAGAAATAGGGAAAATAAAATGAAAGAAATGGGATAACGAAAATTGAGTAGTTTACAGTGTTAAGGTGAGCTGCTAAGGCGCGCATCGTTCAAAGTCAATTGCTTAAGCCACAGAATGAAAGACACTGTGATTTGTGTTTTGTGTTTTGTGTTTTGTTGGGATGTTGGAGAGCAATGACCAGGTATTCCACAGTTTCAGTAAGACAATGGGTCGCCTTCAATTAAAGATCAAGAGGCAGTGTTCTCCATTGTGGAAGAGACGATCTTGGAGATATAGATGCGTTATAATTTTGATGTAATGGATTCAACCCAATAACTAGGCCTATGCAATAGTTTCGGGCTAATTTTAAATTTGGGTTATTTTATTTCGAGATAATTTTAAATTGGGTAAACTACTTGTTCAATATCTAAATTATTATGAGTAGTTCTACTGTACGGCAGCTTAATATAAGGCTAAAGAAAGACGCTATTGAAAATGTTAATATTTTTTTTTTAATATTTTCAGTAAAGTGCTATCTAAAATATTATTTTTTCTGCCGAAAATATTAATATAAGAAATATTCATTTTAGGTAGCGGCTGATATTAATATTTTCGGTAGAAAAAATAGTATTTTAGGTAGTGCTCTATTGGAAACGTTAAAAAATATTAACATTTCCGGTAGTGTCTTTCCTTAGCCTTATATTAGGTTATCGTACCTCAGACATCCCCAACTATTACCTTTGTTTTATTTTATTACTTGAACTTTATTTTTTTTAAAACCATACCTAACGTTTAATTTATATTTTAATTTGATACATTGTCGTTAAAAAACTAACAGAAATTTTGATGTGTTATTTTTTAAATTTTTTCAATGATAATGTGACATTACCTTATGATGACACGTCAACATCATCGTTAAGTTTTTAACGACGGGATACTGGAATGAAACCTGAACTAAATGTCAAACAAAAATATGATTTTTATGAGGGAAGTATCGATATCATATTCACATGATGTTGATATTGTTCCTCTAATTATTATACTGAGGGTGTGGTATCAATATTGAGGCTTAATATTCAAATTTTGGAGTTAAAATTGGTAATGATACTCAAGGATAGTATTTATAACTATGTTGAATTTATATTTTGATATAACAAATATTTGTAAAATTGATTTTAGATTTAATCAAATATTTCAAAAATAATTCAAAGTAAAAAATAACTTCAAAAATATATTTTCTAAATTGTTATATATATATATATATCAAAAATATGTTTTCTAAATTGTTTTATATATGTGAATTATTTTTGAGTTAATTAAAATATATTTAAAGTGTTTAAAATGTGTTTAAAGCTTTTAAAAAATGAAAAACACTATTTAGTCACCATTTGGTATTGTTCATGACATTGTTCATACACGGGTAGTGTTCATGAATAGTGAGTTTCGAAATTTTTGATAAAGTTTCAAATCTTTGACCCTTGAAACAACTTCAATGACCTGATTTCCTTCAATGGTCATATTTTTAAGTAAGAGTTTCAAAACTTTCATCAAAGTTTCAAAACTTTAAAAAACAATATGTTTAAGAGTTTTAAAACCATCCCCAAAGTTTCGAAACTTCCTGTGCAAGTAGCCTTAATCGTGCATTTGAAACTTTCAATGGTCATAACGACTAAAAACTCATTCCACACCATAAAAACACTCCAAGAACACTTGAAGAAGGTTACAACACCTATCCAAGCAATAAAGATCAAGCGAAAAACTCTCACTCTTCATTTTCCTTTTTTCTTGTATATAAGTGTGTTTGAGCTCATTGCAAATCTTTTAATTGTTTTCTTGTTTGCTTAATTATTGTAACACCTACATTGTGAGGTTTTCTTGTTTACTTCTTTTATCCTTTTGTAAAAAGAGGAGTGATTCTATATTAACCTTTGAAAAGACATAGATTTGTATAGGTTAGAAAAAGAAAGAACAAATTGTGAATTTATTAGAAAATCTGTAGTGTGGAGCTAAGGTCGTGAATGTAGACTTAGTTTAGAAGTCGAACCACTATAAATCATTGTGCAAATTTTCATATCATTTCTCCTCCATACCCAAAATTTTTCAAAAGGCCAATTTACCCCCTTTTGACACTTTTTCAGTTGTTCATTGAGCTTCATTAATCATAGGAACCTATTATGTGAATATTAATACTCATGTAAAAGTATCAGTACTATGAAAATTTTACACAACTTTGAGGCTTAATTCGTTATCGATACCCAATGAAAATATCAATACCCTTAAAAAGAGTATTTGTACATGTGAGAGGTATCGATACTTAAGATAAGTATCAATACTTAATGGTAGGTATTGATATCATCATGGAGGAAAGGTGTAAGTGAACCTTATTATTAAATGAAATTCAAGAGTGAGAAGTCTAGTAATGTTGCATCCGGATAATAATAAGCTTGAAAGCGAAAATTTAACTAAATGTGATTGATAAGCACAAAATCATTATGCCATGAGATTCCATAACACTTATTTCTTGTTTAACACTCAAAGAATGACATGGAAATTTGAGATACTCGTGTACGACAATCATATATAATTGTGTGAGAAATATATGAATATCTAAAGTATTATGTTGCACATGTTTGCTAGCTCGGTGTTGTTGTAATGCTATGTGTCCTAGATTTCATATGTAGTATTCTAAAGAAGTAGACTAGTTAGGTGTGCGTTCCTAATGTATGTGTGTTTGTGTGACTCAGGTCTCACTTGAGATACTTGGCAAAATGTGGAAATGTGTTCATGTTTGCATATTTTGACTTGGAGATCGAGGAGGCACATCGTTAGGTTAAAGTTCCAAATATTCGAGTTATCAGAGTGTGTCTTGGATATTTGTGGAGGATATGTATTATTATTATTATTATTATTATTATTATTATTATTTGTTATCCTTCCGATTCCCAAGGCTTTGTCTTGACTAATCCGGACCAATTCGGGCCGCACACTTGGTTTTGGTCAGTTGAGTCTCCCAACAAGAATTTTATGCATACACAAGGACTCGAACTCAAAACCTACTTAAATGATATTAAGCTGCTTACCACTTGAACCAACCCGTTGATGAGGACATGCATTATTGATTGACCTTATAGTAACTTTATTTTTGTTATACATGTTATTTATACTCTATTTGTATTATTTGAAACTCTTTGTTTTAACTTGTACTATTATTTGATATGTGATGATTATGTCATTCATATTTTGAGTAAATGAGTTCGAAAAAATAGTTAGTTATTTTGATGATTTTGTGTGGTATTTGAATCCTTAGATTCAAGATGAATTAGATTATTGTGGTACACAAATATATTTTTGTATATAATATTTTATTTTTTATAATTTTACATGATAAATTTTAAATTTAAATTTTATATCAGTTATATTTTGGTTATAATATAAGGTGGTGGACCTGACTGGCAAGTAAATTTTGACGTTGTGCCGATTTTAATTGTATAAGAGAAAACTAATTGACTTTCTAATTAATTTCTTCTAGATGTCTCATCTTCCAACAACATATGCTGGACTCAATTCACTTGATACTTTGAGCGGTGACAAAGCCGTGGTATATGCAACTCTTCATTTTCCTATGTATATTCAATGGTATTTAAAATTGGGTAAATTACACTTCCAGTATCTAAACTATCAGGTTTGATCTGTTTTAATACCTAAATTTTTAATTTTTTAAAATCATACATAACATTTAGTTTTTGTTTCGTTTTAGTCCATTTCCGCTAAAAAAGTTGACGGGTGATTTGAAGGTGGCACTTTTTTTGGGTAAATTACGTCATTCATCGCTCAATTATCTTCTCACTCCTATTTTGGTCACTAAAGTTTAAATTTTTTAATTTAATTACTTAACTCTTAAATTACTCCTACTTTAATCACTCTAACTTTCAAATTTATTTATTTTTAATTATATATTAATAAAATAATAATAAAAAATTACATGTCACAAAAAATATTAATAAATAAATTAGAGTGATTAAAATATTAATAATTTGAAAGTTGAGTACTTAAATTGAATTTTTTAAAACTTTAGTACTAAGATATGAGTGAGAAGATAATTGAGTGATGAATGATGTAATTTACCCATAAAAATGTAGCGCCGTTAAGTTTTTAACATCAATGTACTAAAACGAAACAAAAATTAAATGTTAGATATGATTTAAAAAAAAAAGATACTAAAACAAATTAAAACTAATAGTTTAGTTACTAAACACATAATTTACCCTTTAAAATTGGCTTAATACAAAAAGTGCCTAAACTTTGCCTCGAAAAATGTCTTAGTGTCTAAAAAGTTTTTCGCTAAAAATATGTGTTTAACGTTTTCATCGGAGATTTTTAAGTGCATGGACCGTAATTACCATTAAATTTGACCGTTAATTACACGCATCACATTCTGGTAATTTTAAGATTTTATTTAAAAGGTTAAAAAATAAAAATATTTTTATTAAAAAAACAACCCACAACCCGCGTCCCCCCTCTCTTCCCCTTCTCTTTTCCCTCTTCACCTTCCCTTTTCCCCTTGCCCTTTCCCCTTTCCATGGTCACCGACCGACTATCCGTGACCGTCACCGCTACCTTCATCGGCACCAACGTCGACTCCCGATCAAACCCCCATTGGTATTTCATCGTAAAGTGATACCGTTTACCGTAGAGAAGCGTTCAAATGTTCGTCGATTTTAAGCCACCGTCATTGCTTTTCGTCGATTCCGGCAGATCCCGACGTCCATAAGCCACATCGCCACCACCATTCGAACCACCTGTAATTCCGATCAAAACCCAAATATTCGGCAACGATAGTGGTCGGAGATGACCGGCGACAATTGGTAATAGGGGTTGAAATGAAATATTTTAGTATTTTACAGATTTTTTTATAATTTCATTAAAGTTTGGGTTTTTTTTATAAATAAATAATTTTTTTATTTTTTAAATAATATTTTTATTATTAAAAAATTTAAAAAATATAACGATGAACACCTAAAAGTATAACTGAGAAAACTTTAGACACTTATTTTTAACAAAAATTTCTTCAGACATCAAAATGTTTTATTTAGTCACTTATTTTTATATGAATCCTTTCAAATTTTGTCAAATGATTTTTGTTTGACTTTTAAAATGTGAATAATGAAAACGAAATTTATACAGATATTAATGCTATAAGTGTAATTTACTCTTTAAATTATGTCTAATACGAATTAAAAAAGTCTTATTCTAAGTTAGTAAAACGAGTTTGAAATGAAA